GAGAGAGAGAGAGAGAGAGAGAGAGAGAGTACCGTACAAAACTTTCAAATAAAATATATTTTGGCTGCAAGTTGAGCTGTATATCTTTTAATTTTTAATTTTTTTGGTAAGTGTTTTACGGCACTCGCAAGTACATAAGGTCATATGAGCTCGCGGGACACACCTAATACTTTTAGTCGGTAGGGAATTTTGAATTTTGCCCGGGTGGCGGCCGAAGCCTATTCTTATCGATTTTATGACCACCAAGGGATCTTTAACCAGCGCAACTTGCACACGGGCCCTCTAAGATTTTTCGCCGTTGTCCGAGAAGGCTAGGTGTAGATCTTTCCTACCAGAAGATCAGGGGTGTGGCAGAAAGACAGCTGTAAGAAGGAGTCAAGGAGTAGTAGTAGAAAGGCTGCAGAAAGAGTCAGGAGCCCAAAAGGAGGGGGCAAACAGGGGCGAAGGCTGACTTGTTTGACAGGGTAATCAAAGTGAAACGGGACCAGATATGGCCTGGGGATGTCACACAAGAACCTTGCTCGAGGCGGCGACTCAGAGTTGTGAATGAAAACAAATCCGGAATTCATTATTGTTTGTTCAACTGCCAAAATAATAGGTAAAGTATCTCATTAAATATCAATTTCGATTAAAATTAAATTTAACTTTAGATATGAATACACAAACACAAAGCAAAGAAGCAGAGATGTCAGTACTAGATCTAATTGTTATAGATCTACCAGGGAGTCTCTAACTCTTTGGTAGAACATGACAATTATCATTTTTTAAATTTCACATTTGGCTGTTTTTTGTCTAGCCTTTCGCGGCACCGAGCCTGTGTCATAATCGAGGTCACGATCTGATTATAGGACGGTTAAAAAGTCGAGGGAAAAAAACAAGCACTCGAAGCAGTCGAGAGATTATTAGGAGTTAGTTCCCCTCACATCTGTGAGGTAGACTCGACCAGTGTAATAGTTAGCTTACCTAATCGGTGCTTGAGACTGATTATAACCGTGGCCCGAAAGGGGTGAACAGGGTATATGTGGCAATGAAAATGCTTTGACTGCCATGCACATGTTCCCTTCAATTCTGTTGGTAGACTCTTCCAGTCTCACTTTAACTTTAAGCTTACTAAATCAAAGCTTGTGACTGCTTATGGAGTGGCCCAAGAGAGGTGAACAGGCTATTTCTGTGGCAATGAAACCGTTTAGAATGTTAGGTATACTGTTCATTGTTGATTATGAACGTCTTTTTACATTTAATTTATGATGTTTACGTTTATGGGTGAATTTGACTGCGACAATGTTTCAAAATTAGAAAGGGAAAAGCAGTGATTATTTGATTATAAATATAGACGCTTCGCCCCTGACATATACCCTGTTCACCCCTTTCGGGCCACAGTTATAATCAGTCTCAAGCACTGATTAGGTAAGCTAACTATTACACTAGTCGAGTCTACCTCACAGATGTGAGGGGAACTAACTCCTAATAATCTCTCGACTGCTTCGAGTGCTTGTTTTTTTTTTCCTCGACTTTTTACCGTCCTATAATCAGATCGTGACAGGCTCGTGGCCGCGAAAGGCTAGACAAAAAACAGCCAAATGTGAAATTTAAAAAAATGATAATTGTCATGTTCTACCAAAGAGTTAGAGA